ATGATGAGAGTGAGGACAGTTTCACTTCTGGGTGTGACTCGTACATTGAATCCAGTCCTAGATCCACCTAGACTGTAGGGCTCGTCACAAGCGACTGCGTAGCTCCCAGGCTCGTTGAGAACACTCATGTAGTGGATAATCCCTGCGGATCAACCAAAAAGTAATTTAAGAATATCCCACCGTTATCGCCATTTTTTTTTTCGTGAAAATCCCCGAGATTTGGGACAGTCGAGATTCCATTTAGTTCTGCACCCAAAAAAATTCAGGACTTCCATCACAGAAATCGTTATTTTAAATTTAATTTCATCTCTATTTTCAATTCTTTCCATCTCTCCCCATTTTTAAATAATTTTTTTGCTATTATTTTTATCTTTTCCATTATTAATAATAATAATAATTTAAAATCCATTATTATTCACTACAAAAACACAAATTTTTTTATACATCAAAATAAATGAGAAATTCAGTGGCGATTTTTAATTGAAATAATTGAAAATTCTCACCTGAACACCAAAGGTCATGATAAATTTAATAAAAAATTTCTGTATACCACTTCGTATCAGAAATGTGATAATCAAAAATTCGAAAAATCAATACGGTTGATATTGAAAAGGTCCATAGAATTTGGATTGAGATTAATATTTCACGAGCCATAAAAATAAAAAAAGCAGAAGTTCGTACCATTGTCGACGCTTACACTGATGGCAGTCCGATAAACCTCCGGTGTTGGATTGGAGACCTGAATTGTCCGGGTGAATACCGTCTCGGATGGCTGTCGCTCTCCAATCGTTAAATCGCCGATGAATCGCATTGCCTTGCCATCATCGAGTCGTTTTGCCTATAACATTCAATCAACTATTGAGAAATTCATGGATTACCTGGTTCCTCTGTCGTTTCCAATCGCCAGCAAGAATTTCGATCTAGCTGACGACTGGAGAAGATCGAGACACCCGAATCATCCGATCTTTATCCGATTTTTCTTGAATATTCATGAGATCCAAAGCAATACTGATAGCACCTGCACAAGATTTGCTTCGACTGATGAGTAAAAAATAAAAATTGAGTGATTAAGTAAAGCGGAAATGATTTACTAGATCCTTAGCGGTGATGGTGTCATCCCGGGTGAAGAGAAAATCGGTATCATTCAGGACTCTGACATCAATCCCGACAACAAACACAAGACAATTAATGAGAACAATAACATGGGGTAGACTGAACGCCATGACGACTGACTGATGACTAGCCAAAACTGGCTGCCGATTTTATATACCCCGTCTTATCATCACCGGCATATGTTCTCACAAAGTTTTATCAACCGGCATACTTTGCAGACGCACCAGGAATACAAATAAGTTCTATTGTTTACTGGTGTATTCCTGGTATATTCCTGCTCTTGGTACTATAATTATAACTAAAAACAGTGGGAACAAATGAGAACAAGGTGGCGAGCTTCACGCTCTATTTCAATTCCACATACTTTGCCCTCAATCACGTACGACTCACAAATGCGGGACAAACTGGGATATCACTGGAAGGTTTTCGTTGGGTTCAGTTTGCTCAAAGGATATGCCGAGAACACAGATTTCTTCCTTCTTCGGGAAATTGCATTTTATTCTGAAAACTTTCCATTCTATCATTCACGCACGGAGGAAAATATTCAATACAAATTACAGAACTTAACTTTTTTCGTCGATTTCTGCGCAAGTGAATAAGAAAATTTACGTATACGGAAAGAAGAATCGAGTGTAAATTATCAGAAAAAGAAAGTAATAATGACGTTTCCAATTATTTTGTAATTTTTATCAAATATTTTTCTCTTTTTGCTCTGTAATTACAGAAAATATTTCTCGCATATTCCTGATACTGACAGCCTGGGATTGTTACGTCGGATGCAAATGGTTGTAAAAAGTAGTTGAATATCTGAAGTCTGGAATTTCTGCATGGGATTTTTGTTTCAAGAAGCGCCGAGGGTGGATGGTTCAGGGCAAAATGCTGGCATCCATTGAGAAGAAATGCCTAAGGGCAAACGACTGCTATTTTTTCCCTCCTCAGTATTCTCCCTCTTTTTTTTTTTGCTCATTCAAATATCTCCCGGCAACTTTTCCTTCCGAATTCAAATACGAATACAGGTGCAGTCTTCAACGAGTCTCTCGTTCGTGTGAATGAGTTTGTTTCCGTGCTTTCGATACTTCCCAGCCGTGAAACTTTGGATTAATGGGATTAAATTTCAGTTTAGCGAAATGCTTGCCTCATACCACCTCCGGCTAATTTTGTCACTGCTATATATTATCCAAGATATTGAGTCTGGGGATCATGGAAATTGATTTTTGCCGAGTGCGAGAGAATGCTGGAAATATTGAAGCTGAAGGTTTATTAATCGGGGAAAATTGCTCTACGCCGTGATTGCACAGCTAAAAAAATCCTTGAATCAAGTACATTCTATGCTTTATTCCTATATAATCTATTATCAATATCGTAGATGATTTTGGTGATTGTTTAACAATTTTTGGGACTTGTCTTTCGCCGGAATCTAGATAGTTATCAGCAAATATCTCAAGATGAATGGGAAATAGCGATATTTCAGTCCTTACATTTTTCGTAGACGAAGACGAGAGCTACAAAAAAAGCATCTACAAAAATATCACCATCCTCCTCGAATCCCAAGATATCCGCCAAGAACTGGCTCCTAAAAACGGAACTACCCACTTAACCACTTTACAATCGAATTTACGAATGGGAAATCGTATTTGACAGTTGGATTTTTCTGCCTGTCCCGTCTACATAGAAAATCCCTAAAAATTGTTATTACTCATCAATGTTCATTACCATATTCCCAGAATTGAAACTCCCACTTGAATTTCCCTCAAGTATCATAATCCGCAGCTGTACAACCAGAAGATTTTAACGAACTCCGCGGAAAAATGGTGCATAATTATCTCGTCAAAACTCGCCGAACAATCTGAGATACTCGAATCCCCAGAGCTGCTAACTGGAATATATAAATTTCCTCTTTCTTCATTAGAGCAGTGGTTGGATGAGTTTGTACCAAGTAATATACGTTTTATTTACAACAGTGTGGAAAGGACAAAGTTTTATCGGTCTCGAGCCGGTATACGTTGAAAACTACTCGATATCTATCTCCGAAACAACTTCATTCTGAACTACCCCTCACACCCTCTTGTCCCTCTAGTACTCCAATCCTCTCTTCTATTCCCGTTATCTCAATGCATCGGTAAAACTTTTTTTGAGCTTTGCATCCAATGACGTCTCTAAATACGTCCGTGGCAAACTTTTGAATCCTCTCCTACGAAGTTTTATCGATAAATTCTGATGTAAAAATATTTATAAACTCCATTACCAAAGGGATGTGCTGTGATAAGGGGCTTTATCTCGAATTTCTACAGGAAATGGTTGGAATATTCAATAACGAGCAATTCATCCAGAATTTCAAAGTAATTGCACAGTGGGACAAATTTGCTTTCAAATCTCATGAAACGTGAAACGTTATTTTAAATTCCTCTCATATTTATTGTGAAATTAATTACGAATTTATTATTAGTAATTAAATCTTACTGGTTGCCTTTAATTCGAGTTATGAATGCAATTCATGGGGCTTGATAGAAATAATATGTTTCAGAATTTGATTGAATTTTCAGTGGAATTAAATAAAATCACACGAGTTTTTCATTTTTTAATGAATTTTTGTGTGGAAGTATGAAAAAGCAATTAGTCCATAGATTTTCAAATAATTGGAGGAAATTGTTTATTTTCATACGAAATATTGGGTCAGGCGAATATGCATAAGTTTTTGTTTGAAAAAAAAACATTCTAAATAAAATTTTTCAACAGTGCAGAGTTATTTCAATAGATTTGGGGAACAGCAATAAT